TTTTGCGACACAAAACGTTTATGCGTACTTGCCACATTACCAAATGAAAGACAATGAGGCAACTGGTATCTGAACGAGAAAACAGCCTCAGAAAAAGATACGAGCAAGTTGTAATTTTCAATCTCTAACTCACCAATTCTCCAACGCATTTGTACTCGTGCTTTTCGCCTTCCATACAGCAAACGTATTCGGGAGTGCATGGGTGGTCAGGGCTTCCTCGGCACACGTATTCAATCCCCGTGCAATCTATGTCATCCTCGGCAGCTCCACTCGTAAACAGAAGCCCGGCCAGGCACAGCAACAGGCAGAACATGGTCTTTGAAAGCCGTACCATCGTTCGTACCCGCAGCATCCGATATGTTCCTCGTCGTGCGTATGCGTCTCCTATGCAGATTTTTCGTCGTCCTGTTGCCTCTGCAGAGAGTTGGTAGTCTAGCGAAAACTCAGATTGCGCGTAAAGGCAGAACTTTGCATGTACTGGTGATCAAATGACTAATGACACACAGCAGAGCAAAGTGGTCAAGAAAAAATGCAAGAACAGGATATGCTAAATGGTTTCGAGACACGCTTGCAGGTGGATGAACGTCAAGACCAGATTCATTTCGCAGTAGGCAGCTGCAGTGATATTTTGGAGAGTTTCAATGGTATGGTAAGAAATGATAGTTTCTACTGTAATCTGGATGGTTAGATAGGGGATGTGTTTGTTGCTTGTTTATTTTATGCTAGCTTAGTCCTTAGTCTTGAGAAGACCTCAAAAACTGTCAAAAAATATCATTTTTCGTTTTCAGGGATTATGACATATACGTACGCATTACTAAGTCAGATTTCCAAGGTTTTGACTATCAAAATGGCCAAAAGAAACCCGTTCTGTAACAATTATTTTATGCAAGCTATCGAGCATTGTCAGAATCACACGTCAATTAAATCGAACAATCGCCTTTCATTGTTGAGGAGGTTATCAGCTTGATGATTTCATTTTGGTTTCTTCCGGGATAAGCGCATTTATTGGCCGCAAATATTTCCAGCTCAGTTAATATTTCAACAATCTGCTACTGTACAGACCTGCTTTATAATTCATAACGATCCTCGTTTGCACACCAGGAGAAAAAACAGCATTCTTCTTGCGCCTTCCCTGTTACGTGTGAGGCCCCTAATGCCATCCACTCTTCAGCATATGGAAATGAAAGCCCACAGAGACTCATCAGCCGACGGTTTCAGAGTTCATGACGTCTTTCAGTATTTCGTGACTGTGCACCTCACAATAACTCGCTCTGCCATTCAATCACTACTTTGGCCGTTTCCAGCGCTCTTCGATGGTCATACTGGTACTGAATAAAAGCGAAACAAGAAGTAGCAGGAAAAAGGGAAATGAAAGAAGAGAAAAAAAACAAGATGGCATAAAAGACCTTTTCAAGCACGTAATAACAGTATAGGCACTGTTTTGCACAGGGACTATGTAAAGTCAACTGTTTGTTCCTCTGGATCCCTCAGACAGCAGTGAAGTTCAGAATGAATTTGCACAGCGCAGATGGTTTTTCCAATTTTCTGATCCAGGACTACGCATTTCTCGAATTTCACTTGTAATGAATGACTGCCACAAAATGGCATTATCTGCAGCACAACGTTGTTACCGCTCTGAATCATCACTTGTTGACCTTTTAATACTGGACGCTTATGTGGCAACTCAGTCATCGTTTATTCTAACTCCATCATCTGCTTTCGCCCATCTATTGCTGGATGAAGGTTTCTCCGAAATTTCACAGTAGACCCGTTTTCTGCTAATGCAATATAGAGAAATTCTTCTCAAATTCATCCTGCCATCGATCTGGAGACTCTTACAGATACTTACGTACTTAGAATATAAATCTCTACCGTCTAGCTTGTCTAGGGATGGTCGGTTTTTCTTGCAACGTTTCTTGCCCCTTGATTCATTTTGACAATTATATCACTCTTGTCTGTGCTCTCACCCATTCGTTCGTTTTTCTACCTTTTATTGTCTTTTTGGACCAACACCTTCCCATATTGCGTTGTATAGTCAGCAATTCATAAATAGCTCTGACACTTAAGATTTACATGTGGCACCCATGAATTACCACTCCGAACACCAATCAAACTCTTAGCCAGGAATTGGCCCGAACAGGCGTAGTTATGCACTTCTTCAAGCTTAACTCCACTTAATTAAACATGTCAAGCAGTCACATATTTGTTAAGCATGACCAGAATCTTCTTCAAATTCATTTTTAATCATATTTTGATGCTGACCTCGTTCAGATTTAGATTATTCTTTGCAGTTCATCGTTTCAAACTTATCTTTCCTGAGCAGCCAAAAAGAATTGGACAATATTTATATTCATTCTGTTTCTCTGTCATATGGCTGCGATAATATATAGAAACTATTACTTAATAATTTTAATTATAGGTTAATTTGGTTGTTTCAATTTTGATATCATGCATTATCTAAATTAATTTGTTTAAATTCTCATTTGTTATTTGCTGATGATCGAAATAGGGAAATTTTGTACATTTACACCAGTACGCAATCAACTTTAGCAACGAGCAATAGTAGGTTGTCATGACCAAACATGAAAACCAACCAGCACTAATTTAATTCAAGCAAAATTTCAGCTTTGGTATTTCAGGGCGCACACATGTGACCGCTGATGGATACTTGCGTAGCCGTAGTTGGCTTGAAGTTGACGTCTCAGTCAACTAATCGGTTGCTGTGATTGTTTCAGAAAATAAACACCGAGCTCTCGCTGCAACCGACTTCTCGCAAAATCCTAAACAGACGCAGTTACTACACAAAAAGATTCAAACAATCAAGGGGGAGGAGAGAAACTATTTCATAAGTGATAATCATCTTAAAAAATCAAACTATTTTTAAACTACGGTGAGTAACCTTCTATCACAGCTTATCATCCCATCCGGTCACGGAGGCAGACGCGTCAATAAGCGTTTCAAACGTTCCCGATTCTGACAGCGTTTGAGATTCGACAGAAGATAACCATCGTCCGTAGCAATGAGTCATTCCAGACAGTTGGTAGGGTATTCTTGGCAGTCTCTCAGGGTCTTTGGTATCTCGATCCAGCAAGTGGAAGCCGTTTCGCCTTTCTGGATGCATTAGCATTAAGTGCCCGAAGCATCGCAGTTGTAACTTCTCAATCTGGGAAAGCAGCTGCTGTAACAAAAGGCACTCTGCTGAGCGAAGGCGCGTGAGCGTAATGATTCTCTCGGACGGCTCATTTCAACCGCGTGCCCCCTGATCAACATTTTTCGGACACGGCCAATGACATCTGACCGTGGGTAGGTGAGCATCGCCACGATAATCGATTGCCACACACATTTTCTTCACTAACCGGTTTGGGCTGGCTAACCCACAGCGCAGCTGACCATTTCAATACGCCGGTCGATCTCTTCCTCCCATCATCCATCACTAAGAAAGACGACCTCACACTTCTCCGTTTACCTGAAGAGAACAACGGGCGGGGGAACGAGGAAACACCAGGCTTTTCGCTGTAGATGCGTTTGCACGCATGCCGGTCACGTCGCACTCGGCTCAAACCTTTCTAGGGACCTCTGTGGGTCAGTTTCAGAAGATGCCAATAAAACAAGGTCGTTTGCATACAGCAACTTTCTCGCCTTCACATCTAATACACCGACAGACTCATCGCCTTGGCTGCTCCTGACTATTCTATTCATATACATCATAAACAGGAGGAGGGTACTGGACGCAACCATGGCGGAGACCAGTGCCAACGCTGAAAGGTTTCGACTTAACGCCATTTAGCCTGACACAGCACCTGATATCAGCATTTATTGACTGGATGACCCGCAACAACTGGCCATCGATCCCATAAGTTCGGAGGCATGCCCGCAGATTGTTGGATGGGAGCTAGTAATAGACCTTCTCTAGGTCAACAAGGCACATGTACATCGGATGAGCAAACACCCATGAATTCTCAACAATCTAGATTAGGGCGAATATATAGTCAGCGGTGCCTCGACCACACTGGAAGCCACACCGGTCTTCTTATGACCCAGAGTCAGTTATTCCGCGGTATCTCCTTTGTAGAACCTTTGCGTAGACTTTATCGTAGACTGTGAAGACTCATTCAGGTAATGCCGTGATAACTCGAGCGATCTTTGGTCTCCCTTCTTGAACGAGGATACGACCACCAGAGTTTTCCAGTGCATTATCATTGCAATTTGGCAGACATGTGCTAGCCACAACACATCCCACTCATCAAAAAAGTTAAGTATTTCAGAGAGTATTTCGTCGACTTCAGCAGCCTTGCCACTTTTCAAGCCAACAGTAGTTTCTGTGCCTTCGTCTACTGAAAGATCACGGTTTTCCGCTACTCTTCAGGCGAGTTTTCCCGTGGTTGCTGCGGGTTAGGGAATTCCACAAAGTACTCTCGCCATCGCAGAGCTATATCACCTTCCTTGGCAACAAAGCGCTCCGACTTGTGCTTCAGGAATCTGAGATTGCCATCATATCCAACTCAAAGGCGGCGGATGGTTCGCCAGACAGTAGCTCGAATGACGTCTGAAAATTTGTCTCCAGCAACCAGTCACTCTATGTTACTCAGTCACAACATTGGCCGCCATTCTGTGCGCTTCTTGGCACCGCCTTTGAAAGGTTATACTTCACAGCAACGGCTTAAATGCAGTTCACTTCTGACCGAAAGCCAGCTGAACTTGGGTATCCCTCAGAAAATTGGTTTTTTACCCTAGACGGCAGGCAAACCCATTTTAAACCGCGCGCGCGGCTAAATAAACAAAAAAGTGATCATATGCCCAACCATGTCAAATAACGAATGACTTCTCCAGTACCAGATTTCACCGCGTATTACAGCGCGTTTTTGCTCGTAATTGCTTCGGCGGCATTTCTACTGGCCAGAGCTAAATGATACTTGAGCATCAACAATACGAGACAGATTTCATGCCATGTTGTTCGCACTCAATACGAACGATTTTATGCAGCTGATACCGCTAATATGCTACCGATTGAATATGAAAATATATTTGTACACCGGCGTATGTGAAATGGAGGACACCCCTTTCAGCACCAGCTGGTGAAACTTCGTGATGAACGCGACGTAGCAGTAGCTAATAAAATGCTGTGAAATGCATCTGGTACAGCATATGCTCAAATACCATGCACCCGTGGCCCGGATAAATGTCCCCCATCCCTAACAATTAAGTACAGGGAGGAATTACAGTACACCGCTAAATCTTGTCCTGGGGCTATGCGCCATTACCCGCAGTATCCTGCAACCAAAGATTAAGATATGTCAACAATAAACTTTAAAAGATTTCTCATATATTGAATCGAGGAGTTAAAGTAACAAATAAACTTAGGATCAAGATTTCTATCACATTTCATTCTTGCGACTTTGAAACAAACGAATAAAAAAAGGTTACAGAATATCTTTATAAAAAAGCACTTTCAGTCGCACAAATATCAACAAAATGAAAACTTTTCATTATTTAAAGTGTACAACTAGTGTTCGAACAAGTTTCGAACGGTTAGGCTGAGAACACAATAAGTACTAAAAATCAACTCCAATATTTTGCGTTTGCTAGGAAACTGCCATTTTTCGGTACCGCCAGCATTAATAACATCCTTGTCACTTGTCCTATGCTGGTGAACGATCTACTCAAAAGACTCTCCAGGTAACAGACTGATAGATGACAAGTACTGTTTCGAGGATTTCCCATATTCTCTTACATACTTCGGATTCATATGGAAAATTGTCACTGAATATCTCTCGGATAAACTGAACTTTGCACGCAGAGACTACACTAAGAACAACTGTCAGAGTACACCACTCATTCAACAACACCGTTTCACAAATGAATCCTATGGTTCAACGATAAGTTTATGATGCAATGCGGACTGTTTGCTGACGATCGAAAGGACTGTGACCCGCTAAAGCTCCGTCCAACGGTCATTTTCTGTGCGGTTCATGAAAGGTCGATAGCAGAAAACTTCTCAGTATGATTCTGCAGTGCCAGTATTGCTCTGGCTCTTACTACAGTGCTTAAGTTTTGCCTATTCTTTACAACTCTCGCAACGAACCTCCAATGGAATGTGCAAACAAATGTTGATTACATTTCAGAACAAGGCTGCCACTGTCAGCTGACTGACCAGCTTTAAACGTAGACTAGATGCGCGATGTCTGACAGTTTCAAATGGCATTTCAGATTAATATTATGTAAAGTTTGCTGCAACAGTTACAAATCACTATCGTAAGAGGTCTGCTCCAATAAGGCCCTTACAAATTCCATGATGCCCTCAAATAAATCTGTAGCCAGTAGATGATTGAAGAGAGAAAGAGAGAAACATAAGGCATTGTCTTCGAAGACTTTGCCAGGGCCCTAGGCACCAGTAATAAATCACAGCAAAACTCCATCATAACGAGCCTAACTATAAGCAGATTCGAATATAATGTGGGTCTAGTCTTGGTCCTAAAGTGGTTCTGCCAATTTTCTTTGTTAGCAGCTTTGTTTCAAATCTTAAGTTATATTTTTCTAAAGAAATTGTTTCGAATTTTACTGTTTTCTTAGGAATCAACTTCATTTCAAATTTTACAGCGAGTTATTTTCTGCCTTCACAGTTTGATTCGAAGTTACTGCGATGAGCTGCTGGCAGCGGTGACGTAACTGCCTTGGAGTATTCCCTGTGGCATTACATGTGACTTTTTAAAGCGAAGCACTATATTGTCTCATATTTGATACACACGAAGCTGTCAATACTCTTACCGAAAAAAATAGAGGTACATTTACCTGTAGACTATGGACTGGATTGGTGACGATGATGATAGCTTCCGTCATTATTTATACGAACGTTGAAAAGTGAACTTCATAACCCAAAAATTAACAGTGTAATAGATAGTATTAGCGAATCGATTAACTGAACTGAATGGAAAGACAAAGTGAGGGATGTGATGACATCTATCACATTTACAAAATATTCCGATGTATATGACGAAGAAATGCCATCAGCTGTCTCGTCAAAAGACAATATCGGACTACTTTAAAATATAATGATTAAATAAGGTATGATTTCTTTTACTGTGATGTTACTGTTACCGCATTTTGCAATTAAATCTGTAAAAACCTGTTTTATTTAGCCGTGTGAATCTTATTTTTAGCGGAAATTTTGGTATATCTCGGGCTGCCGATAACCGGTCAGTCTCTCCAAATGGAATTTTGCTGTAATTTGGTAAATTTATTGAATCTGCAAGAATATTCTCCTGTCTATTTTATGGATTATTATAGACATATTGCGCCATTTTTAACTTTAATTTACTTGCTTAAATAAAGAAAAATACCCATATGTGCTATAAATTTTTATAAGCTTTAATTAATTAAAGCGTGTAGATGCTTCGAAGACCTCAACTGTTCAGACGTTATGGAAAACAGAAATACAGAAATTTGGATTAGCATGTTTTCATTCACTTCTTGGGGCGGTCTTAAGCAACAATCTCCTAATGCTTCTGAGAGTCTCTTCAAATCAGCGATCCTTAGAATCTGCTTTCGATCCACTATACCATTTGCGTATACTCCGCAAACAGCGTTACTAGATCCTGTCAACACGACTGCATGACTTTTAAAGACAGAGAATATGAGAGCAGATTTTGTATAAGCATCTAAATACGGTTCTTTCTAACATGACGATGTTATCACTATTCCTTACATAATTCACTTAGGGCGTAACTGTAAGGGCCAGCATTACTTTGACGGGTAGAAATATGAGAGTGACATTAAAAGGAATATGAGAAGTTATCTGTTTGGCATCGTTAGCGTTGCATTTTCCCATGGCCCTGTCAACAGTCATATTTTAAATATTCTTCCGTAGCAATCAGAAAACTCATAACCAACGGTAAAAGTTATTCGGATCCTGAACGTTTACCGCGCAATGCTGTCAGCAAAAGCATCTGATCCACAGACGCAGCTCTGACTGCAATGGTCGAACGGGGACAGTGAGCTTCTGACAAGGTCGACAGTGGCAAGACCAGACAATCCAGTCCAATCAGTGTCTGGCTGACTTAGAACGTGGTAAATTTTCAACCTAAAAATCTCACGTAAATACGTCTGAAACGAACGAAACAGCTTCATTTCATCATACCGACCGGTATACTGTTCCGAAAGCGACTGTAGCCAATCGAACAGGATTATGTGATTCTTAGATTTATTAAAATACATCAGCATCAACGGCCTGAAATTAAAACCTTTAAAGTTATGTTAACGAAACAAAAAGGAAAATGCATCAGTACACTGACGTTTCCTGAAGACAAAATAAAATAAGATCGATCAAAGGTGTGATGCCTGAACCGGCTGCGAATAGATACACCGAAGAAACTCGCTGAAAAACATCCAGGTGAAAACTTTTTGGTACACAAGGAAAGCTGAGCTCCGTAAAATCCCCTAGAAAAGTTTAAAATTCACTCATTACAAGTACAGAAACAAAACCAACACAACGTACCTTCCTTCAAGCGATCAAAGTACGTGGTAAAAGTTCCATTTTGGTAGATTTTCATTATAATACAAGTACGACGCATCCACCGCTTGTTTTCAAGAGAGGTTAGATCTAAGGAAACTGGAGTGTAAGGCCGGCATACCTCTGCTCCTAGAAACAAACGACACTAAAACACAAATAGAATAAAAAAATTTCTGAAAAAGCAGTTTCAAACAGGGACTGTTTGGAGACACTTCTTCAGTTCTGTTGCTTAATCGACCTTGAAGGACGCCACTTTTTCTGCCTATGGCTTTCAGGCCATTTTATTGTTCTTGCATAAGACAATGTAAACGTTCACACGATTTAAAAGCATTTTCCAGAATAAAAAATAACGGAACCAGCATCAAATCAGTTTCTCAATCGCTACAGCACAGCGTGACTTTTGGAGCGAAATTCGTCATCCGACTTGTTTTCGTTGTGAGTGTGACATGAACGCGAGTCGACGCTCTTCCAGCATTTTCTGTTCTCCCCTTTCTGTCTCTTCCGCTGAACAAGTAATTTGACCGTTGGATCATTCCAGCGGATTTCTGAACGGTTGACTCAAAGCTGGTTGTCCAGCGAATCCCGAGATGTAACTCCTTACGTCAGCCACATGGCCGATTCATCTTGTTGTTTGCATTATATAAAGCATAAACCATGTTAATCCAGTCTGTTTGTGCGCTTGGACCGTGATCCCGGAAAGACACTTTACACATTTTCCGTCCATCACTCCTGGCGTGACCATCAGTTTGTTCTCCCCAAAATTAGTAGCAGACTAATATTCAGCGCCAGAGATCATGGCG